TGAGATGCGTCGTATCATTGGCAGTTCCCCCCAGCGCATCACCGGCCTTTACCGTCAAGTCACACGGACCTGCTGGCGTGTCGCCATGATTATGTTGATGCAGATTGACTCAATTGGCCAGGCCCACTGGGCATAACTTTCATCTCGCCCGAGCTGCTGTGCGGCCAATAGTTATTGTATAAATTTTTCAGCTCGGCGGGGTGGGCGGGTCAAGGACGGGGATTATTCTTTGGGATTTCCGCGGCAATCGCATCGTCAGTTGTGCGCACCGGCGAACTTGAAAGTTCAGGCGGGAGATTTCGGAATGAAATCATCCAGAGAGTTAGGAATGGTCTGGCGGTCCGTAGAGTTGAGCTCGGTATGTTGAATTGATCCCATCTAACCCCATCTAGTGCACCGTGGGCCCGTGCAAGTGGCCAGGAGCCAATCGGCTAGAAGTCGGGATAATTGTGGCCACGTTGTTGATACACACGTGACTACAATTTCTGGACCTCGTTTCACTTCGCTAGTCACTTGAATCAGTGCGCTCGACAATCTCAATGACCGAGGGGACATTGTGTACCCCACACCATCTGTATTTCTACGGGGGAGACAGCCGCAGCTTTCTGATTTACTTGCTGAAATCTGCCATTCGTGCTGTGGCGAGCAGACTCACACTGTGAGAGCGTCTCTGGGTGGCAATCACGTCTGCTGCATGGACGCCTGTCTCGTTGCCTGAGCTGCATCTCGCATGCATTTATGGTGCGGGATGGTTTCATGCAGGCGTGACGGACTGCGTGATCTTCTTCACGTCACCAGGGCTGTTTTTTCACTGCTCCGACGGCGCCTTCATGGCTTTTTCTCCACATCTCTCTTCTGCCAACTGAGCACCGAGGGCCGCATATGATCATGCACTGAGGCTTGTGTGACTTGTAGCCACACGGACAACACGCATGATGGGCTCCTAGCACTCTTCTACTGTGTCAATACGAAGTGAGCCGGATGTGCTCGCTTCGAATAGCCATTGCTAGACTATTTAGGGCCCGGGTGGAGGGAGAATGGCGATTGGCCGAAGCTCGTCCTATGCCGGCCAGAATATCGACGTTCATGGCACTGGGCTGCTCTCCAACTCTCGGGATCTGCCGCAGCTGGTTTCTGAGGCTGTCGAGCTCGCATTAGGTCTCAGTCTTTTGACATTAAGTGTCATTGTGTCGGCCTAAATTTCTATCTACAAAAGTAGCTAGATACAAGCCCTACGCTGCTAGTCGTCGACGTTTTGCTGATTCTCGACAAGTCCGAGGTGGTGTGAACACCAGTCGTCTCTCCACACGACGCCTGTGCGGTCAAGAGTACGGCGTCGAGAACATTGCCGCGACGCACCCCTAGTTCCTGCAAGGCATTTATAGGAAGGCGCGAATAATCGAGGCCCTCGTGATCAATTCCAGCGTATGTTCATCTTACTCTACTTATTTCTGGTCCTGAGATTCTGAGCTTGGTCGCTGGGTAACCCTTTTTGAAGTAGTTTGGAACCCCTGGCATTTCTGCCGCTTGCAAATTTAATCCTCATCGCTACTCAACAAATCTTGAGGGGAATATCATGCTTCGGTGCATGAGAGAGCTCCGGTTAGACTCTGATGAGAGGCGTCTATACACCTCAAACGTGCTGTTGTGGCTTCCCGAGACGCGACAACTGACGCGCAAATGCTTGGGACCGACGACCCCGAATCCCTCGATACGAAATCCTCCAATGCCCTCATCCTCTCCCCAATTGGAGAATTATCATGGGTCATGGCCGTCGAGACTTTCCTGTAGCTATCACAAGCCTAATAGCTCCGTCAGCCTCCTCCACCACTTCACTCGTTACCATGTGTCTAACATTTTGAGTTGTTTCTCCAAGATTTCAGGTTTTATTCTTCAGGGCTTTCTGTCCCTCACAGCCTTTACCTATTTACATTCGTCGCTATTCGTGACAAGTCGAGACGGCTAAATTTACGTACTCTATTTTCCGCACCGAAGGCGTTATAATGGGGTTTGTATTAGTGTACGAGAAAGAGGTATTTCATCATGTCAGAAGCTGCGTGAAGTGTGTTGTCTTTTTTAGAAATTTATCCAAGTAATTTTTCATCATTTAATTTATTTGTAGCTATGAGGCGTGATCAGTGTCTTGTGTAGATACAAGCTAACTCTTTGCCTCAAGGGAAACTCAGACCCTTTATATTGTTCGCAAGTCGTCCCTTCTCAGTGGGTACGCAACGAAGGGATGTTTCAAACCACTTGGCTATCAAAGCGCCCAAATACCGCAAGAATTGTTGCAGAGCACTGCTGGATTTGAACTAGTGATTTCTTGTCTCACGAAAGATAGGTGGCCATGATGATACTATCAGTGTCACCTGCACTCTCGCTATGGAAGGCTCCTGAATTCGTAAAGCTCCTAGCCAAAATTCCAAATCTCGCCAAATTCAAGATTCTACCCATCCATGGCATCATCTTGAACATCTATCCTGACCCCACTCATATCCACCCCCAAGATCTATCTCCTAGATTTGTACACCACAATTCTTGTCTTCCCTATATTATTCGTATCCTCGTGAAGGGTTATTTAGAGGCCAGCTGGGGCCAGAGTCTACTTCGACGAGAGATATGCTAGGTCGTACTTTTGGATTTGATGAAAGTTTGGTGGTTATCGAACTCGTTGGGTGGGAGAGATTGACTTGCTGTAGGGCCTTGAGTCATTGCCACGAGAGGAAACTTCTTTGATATGGAGAATTTTGACTGCAGTTGGGTCTAGAGCAGTATTTAGCTCCGCGGCTCGTAGAAGAAACCGCGGAGAGGTGTTGATTATATCAATTTCCTTTCACCGCTTACCGATATGTCGAAAAAATAGATGATAACCGTCAAACCATTTGATCTGATTGAGTTTTCCTTTGAGCATTGGGGCCACCAATCATAAATGGCCCGAGGCGCCGGCAGGTGATCGGTCTTTAAGCTGCCAATTAGCGTATTTGTATTCCGAGGGGGTTGCTGAGAAGAAACCAAAACGACAGACTTTAGCGGCACAGTGATAACGGCGTTTACATGCATGCCACTTGTTCGTGGTCTGCCGTTAGCCATGCGGGTGAGGACACGTTGGAGTGGCGACGAAATTTCCAGACGGGTGCTCTAGGCCCGCGGTACGCGTCGGGAGACTGCCGATGGAGGAGGAGGAATTTCCGCAATGTATTCGCCGTGACCGGCTTAGGATAGGATGAGAGGTCCGAGTAAATTTGCGACGCACATCGGACATCAAGTCGACGGACCAGGCGCGGCGGAAAGGAGGTGGCCAGGACGGACATGCAAGAGACGTATGCGGCGCCATGCACGCAAGGCGCGGGCCTCGGAGCGGGGCGGAGCAGCCAATTTCCCATCGTCGCTTCATCTGCAGCTTTAGTCACGTGCACCCATGGTCTGGAAATGGCGGAAGAGGGAGAAAAGAGTCGGGCGACGGGTTGCATCACGCTTGGGTCTGATTCTCGCGCAAGCCGATGGACGGCGAGGCCTTGGGAATTGGCAGCGGAAAACAGGCGAGTCTGTCAGCTTCTCATGGCGGCGAGAGGCATCATAATTGACTGCCATCAGTCGGCCGCCGACGCCTTGCACGCCAACGTCCCTTAAATTCCCTTGCATGGCCGAAGCCACTGACGCATGTCACGGGATCCATGTCCACGTCGCCCACAGATCCGAATGGAGATGGGCGAACTGGCATCGGAGACTTGTCCCCAGCAAATGCTGGCCTCATTGCACAGAGGACTATTGCTCCAACCGCCCAGCAGCCGGAGTCCGGATGCAAAAGCTCGGCTACCACCGACATTGCATTTATGGTCGACGCAGTCATCTCATCGTTCACTTGACTCCTAAACGCCGACCTGCTGCACGTCAATTCAACTTGCCCTGGCTTTTCCACATGCACACCCAATGAATGAAGAGTGAAAAAAGTCTTCTTATCAAAGTGGGAAGACCAATTTCGCACTGCCTCATCCACCCCCAAGCGCCGATAATCAGAAAGGGTCTCAGGCTGTCTAGGCCCATTCCAAAATTGGATACTCTTAACGCAAAGATCGTCGTGTACACGAGCAGGGTTCCGAACTCGACGCCTTTGGCGCGCTAGTTCTTTCCGATGTTGCCCCGAGATTGGTAGCGGGCAGCTTGCGCTGGCGGCTGCTCTCGGGTTCGACGAACCTCCTGTCCATACTGCGACCCGCAGATACAGGGCTGATACTTTGTTCGGCAAAGTACTTGTCATCAGTCGCTGTTCAAGCGCCTCGACCTATCCATCTACGATCCTTAATCTAGCACCGACCATAGACCGGTATGGGCGTGGACGTTTATTGTCTTGTTCATAGAAAGCACATCTGTCCCCTGGTCAACCCAGGCTTTCATCGAATCTCCTCTCTCAAACGCCATGGTTTACTTGTCTAGCTAGTCTAACCCGCTGTCTCCTTTGTGCGATAGCTTTCCTCTAGTTACCAAAATTGTAATTATTGTACGTACAAGGCCATCATTATTCACGCTACAATTGTACATTATTACATCGCCATGCTATATAACATTGCTCGTCGCGTAGATCCTGAATTTAGCAGATCTCACTCATTCATCTAATTTCACCCTGTGTGAGGGAATTGATCACGTAAAGATCGAAGCCTTTCCCAGTCTTCACGTGTAATAGCTGCGGGGAGCCAGCTTAAGGTCTTGATTGTTTTCACTGGGTTTGGAGATTTACATGGTATTCTTTGCGTTGCATGTCCAATACTCCCTTTCTGAATGTCGGGTCATTGTGATTCCCATTGCCCTCAAGAGGGACGTTTCGTTGCAAGATAGTAACTTGTCAAGATTAATGTCCTAGAATTCCTTCCCACTTCTTGTTCTCGTCTCGTGTGGGATTCTAGTACATCATCGATATTTCATCAAAGTATGCCCACCATTTCCAATATCCAAACGCTTTAGCTTCATGTGGAGAATTGAGAGAAAGTATGGGCAGCAGATATTTAGGCCGAGCCACTGATTAGAGTAGTTAAATAGCCAGCCTCAATTTGGAGATATTCGAGAGCTGTCATTTCATCATTGTCACATATATCTTTCGATGAGCGGGGCCTTAGCCCAAATTCTTCGGTATCAGTCGACTGGGTGAACTGCGTGACAAGAGACCCTTTACACTGTGTGTATTCTTTTCCAGGTAGAGAATAGCTTGGCACTGTTCGCATGGATGTCTCGAGCTGCGGTTGCGTCATTTCACTAGTGTCTGTGTAAAGAAAGTCGTCATTCAAATCCGATACGATAGATGATCCCTCAAAGCTAAAAGTGCTTTCGGAAGGTGAATAACTTGAGTTCATAGTAGCGCACGTCCGTAGCTCAGAATTCCAAGCTAATGTTTCCGCTGTAACCAATGAGGTTGGAGAACTAGAGATATTGAGCCTCTCGTGTCTCGGTATCGAGTTTCCAATCTTAGTAGTAAAGACGGGAGATTGAATCGTAGGAGAGAGAGGAGCTGGACATTCTGGTTGATTCTGGGGGCACGGAATAGACATGCTTGCATTAGCTGAAGGTTCTTTGGTCTGTTGGTGGACCCTGATGCGAGAATAGTGCTTGGAAGAATTACTTTGCGTCTCTTCTTTCAAAACAGATGACATGGTTTTCGTCCGACATGTTTTAGGCCTAGTCAGAAGGAGATTGAACGACGATAGCGCACGTTGAGACTCCGTACATCGATTGTTTGGAGTCGATCCTCTTAAATCACGTGATGCCGATTTTCCAGCTACTGACAATCGCATTTGTCCCGGGCGCAAGCTGAATGACAGCCAAAGTGCTTTGTAGAATTCAGCCGAGGTGGATATGGATGATTTCTTTCTTTTCCAAGCCAGAACCGAGGTGTGCGGTCGTCCGATAGTACTTCTTATCTCTGTAGTAGCGTGCGGGCTTGTAAAGCGATCAGCTGGATTTATAGTTTGTCTGGACTGTTGTATAACTGAGCTGGTTGATGCCCTTCGATGACGCTGAGAGGGCATCTGGGTTGGCACCCAGAGAAAATTGACTGGTTGTCCCGGCAAGTATGGACAAGAAGTAGTGAAGGGTGTTGAAACGTCGTGATATTCCTCACTACCATCCAACTCAAACTGAGGCAAGTTTAATTTCAAGGGATTCATCATCTACACGACCATAAACTTACGTAATAGTAGTATCGAGTGCCCATTTTTAAGCCGCCTGATCGCTTCACCTTATTACGATCATTGCCGTCGCAGATGATGTCTTGAAAACGATAACATCCTCGCCACTGTCCTCGAGAGCGTTGAGAATCTCGTTCCATGTGGTAGCGCCTTTTGAAGTTGTCCCATGACCCAATTAAGTGCACGGTCTGGGTGGATGGAGGGGTTTGGCTAGAGCCAAGTCAACATGTGTTTGGAATAGAGAGCCGTGTACAGCAAAATATTTTCAAGTATAGCCAGCAGGGGCCATCTTAGACATAAGAGATTGAGTTAGGTTTTTGATAGAAATGGGTAAACAAAGTGAGCGGGTGGCAAGAGAAAATAATTAGGTGCCGTAGGCCAGGACGAGGAATTTAGAAATATAAACAATATAAACGTATTTCCAAAGTCGAGTACAGTATAGTTAGAGAGAATGTTTTGAGATGCAATAGAAAAGGCTTCCTTCCCGATGCCTCGACGCGCGAAGTATAATCTATCCGTATTATAGTTAAGGTTGAGGCGCTGAAACAACTTTCTTGGAAAGGGCAGGATGGAATATATAGGCGAGCTATCTGAAGTAATAAAAACTAGCATGTGAATGTATTGGGTGCTTTTCAGAGACGGAAGTTCTAGAAGTCTCTACTCAGAGGTTCTGCGACATGCCTTTGCCACCATCAAACTGACAGAATGGCACGTGAGCTAAATAAGCCTGTGTCAAAAACTACTTACACCATGAAAGTAACAAGAGCCGTATCCATAATACTAGATGCTATAATAAATGACCAGATATTTGTGGGATGGACTAGAAGTTGTTGAAAATGGAGCAATCTTCTGATAAATAATGTATGATAGATCGTTGGCTTTCACCCGATTATTCGTCGAGATTTGGACGCGGTGAAGTTTGATTGTAAAATATAAATTCTGAAACAAGTTGTGCCGAGATGTTGTTGACTTGACAAGGTTAGGAAGGCGATGTAGATTGTTGAAAGTACTTGGGGTGAGGTGTTATCGTTTTTTCTGTAATGGCGAGGAGAGGATGAATTTTGGCCGAGTTGACTGAGAGGGCTAGCATGGGGGTGGAGCTAAATGGAATTGTTGTTTATGATTGTTGTGTAGACGAAAGAGGTGCTATGAAGATGATCCTGCAAATATCGGAACGTATTGTGGCTCTCTCTCTCTCTCTCAGCCCATGTGTAATCCGAGACGTAGGAGAAGTCGAGAGGCGCACAATGCTTTGCTTTGGCTTTTCTGTTTCACCTTGTCCTGTGAGACAATAATGTAAGTCGGTTGCGACGGACAATCGAATGTTGTGGAGGATGTCCACGTGTGACGATGGAACGTTCGTCTGATCAGAATCGACCACATAGCAACGGCCGGCGGACACTGTGGGCCAATTTACTCGCAGACTGTCTGTGTCAAGACTAAACGGGACGAGGAAGAAGTGGAGCCTGAAAAGGGAACATGAGCCGGGCGTTGGTCCATATCCTGAAGGTTTGCCGAGTAGATGGACGGCAACTCGAGGCGATCAGAGCGGCTGCGGGGATGGGAACGGGGTAGGGGCCACATGGTGATGAGTGAAGTTCAAGGAGGCGAGGGATCTTATTTCGTTAGATCCCCACTTGAAATAATGAAATGATGTGGCATTGGCAGACGAGGGCTGCTGTGTCATGGATGTCTCGCACTAGGGAAACCTTTTTCCCAAGCCCAGGGAAATCGAGCAGAGGACTGGGAATTATGTAAATCGATTGTCGCCACCACCACCACTGCCAATGGATGGCAATGAGGGGGGAAGGTGACTGAGTTTTCGCAGCCTTCCCCTCTCCCTCACACACTCGAATTTGGTTGTAAATGGGGAGTAGAAGCTGGGGCCCCGAGTCTATCGTCCTGGCCGCGCTATCGGCCGGATGGAAGGGCGCGCTTCAGATGAGGGCAATGCGGGAGTCGGCTGACGCAAAAGCTTGACCTTGGGAGGGACATTGAGAGAGCGAGCGATAGAAAGGCGTAGGGTTAGGAGCTCATGTTGCCGCAATGACCCCTCCCCCTGTATCTCCAGTCGGCTGGTCGCCGCAAGGACCGTCTCTGCCTTGATGTTGTGGGGACTCCGTCTCCCCTTTCCATCGTCGTCGTCTAAGCTTCGATTGACCCTTGCCACTCTAAACTTCCCATGTCGCTCAGCCATCTGCAGAGCACAAGTGTCCAGTGCGTCTGCTGCTATTTCCGGTCACTATCGCACAGCCCATGAGTCGTTTAAGGAAGTCGGATGTATCAGGGATTGTGACGCAGGTTTTTAACTAGCCCTCGACGGCCACGTAGTCGGAGCCACTGTCAATGCTTGCAGACACCCGCAACCCACCCAAGTGCAGCAGCAGCTAAGTCGGAGGAAGAGTTGTCAGGAGACACAGGCCAACTTGGTTCGGCGAAATGCGACATGTGGGGCCGAAAGGGAGTAACGGGAATCTTGTCGGGCGCTGGTGGTGATGAGCTAGGCCCAGCAGCAAAAGCAAAAGCAAAAGATGCACCGGCGACGTCAAGTCACGCGGTGCTGATCATGGTTTGAAGTTTAGGCGGGACGGGAGGAGGCGCTGGGCGGCCATGACGGGCTTGCGGCGACTCGGCCCCAATCAGATCATGGGCACCTCCGTCCCTTAATCACCAAATCAAGGCACCTTCCACGCTCTGACGGGACTGACGGTATGGAAATTTCATGGTTCCGCGAGATCCATAGTCAACATCGGCCTTCGTCCCGCCTAGCTGAGCACTCACAGCACTACATGGCCTGCCTGGTCAATTAAAGTATTCGTCACGTAGTCTATCCACCATATACGCTAGTTGTACGTAGGGAGTATTATTTCGTAGAATTATTTAAAGAATTGCCACCTCTTAAGCTAAGACTATACAGGAGATGTAGGTCCTCTCTGCCTACAGGCCAGGGATACCTATGCCAGTAGCATGTCCCTTCTTATGCCTCCTATACAGGTCCCCTCAAATACTAACACACCTCTTAAATCCTCATTTGATCATACGCTAGGAGGAACCCTTGTACTTCAGCTGTTCCCACCCTCAACCATTGTAAGAAGGCCACTTGCGGGTTGATGACAGCCGAGGAATTTGGGCAAACCTCTGAGTGCAAGGTTCCCCTAATACAGAGATCAGCCCCCGATCTGAATACATAGTTACCTCTCGGAAGCGTTCCCCGAGACCAGTACGCCGAGTGTCGCACACTTGTATATGCCCGAGAGAGTCATCATCTCCAACCCTAGCCTCCATTTGTCATTCGCGCCTTGGGACAGAGCATGTGTACTGTAGGAGAGCCTAGGCCAGCTTCTCTGTGTCGACTTGGTTGCTAGAAAACGACGTTAGCGCATCGATTGTAGAGCCTCTGCTGATCAAAAGATGGGATCTGGAGGTATTCTTAGGCCACTACTAGTAGATGTCCGGTTGTCGTCCACCTTTCTTCAGCGTGTGGGGCCTACGGCTTGTTAGTGAAATGAAAATTTCACAACTTCCAAACTTGTTGGCCTGACGTCTCGGCCGACATCTTTACCCATTAATATCAACCCAGTCCGTTATCCGGCCCGGTCAAGTCACACCTCTTCATGAGAACACAAATACAGGTGAGCTATTGCCGCCATCTATCTCGTAACCGATAGCTACACTATAAGAGGCCCGTTGTATGTTTTTAGTTGGCAAAATGTCTTGGTCGATCATGGAGACAGATTTTCCTGCCGTGGCTGTAACTTTATGCAGTATTTTTTTCTAGGTTTCAACATCAGCAATTGCGACGTGTTTTTGCTGCGATGGGGTGGGTGGAGACATGCGGAATAACCTCCAAACGGGCGACCAAGATCTATTGACACTGTTACTCACAAGGTAGCTCCCAGGAAAAAGGATACAGTCTCACTTTTTTGTGATCCGTCTGATCAAAACTTAGTAGTGGCATATGAGCCGATGACAAACTCCAAGTTCATCTATGAGCACCGGCTAGACAGGTCATATTGAAGGCCCAGCTGGTATAGGGTGCTAGGCTTGCTTGGCCATATTCATGAGCAGTGGAGGACAGCACACGGCAAACCAGACATCGGACGCCGAGGAGGCATAACGGCCGCACGTCGCTGTAGGTGTGAGAGAGGGAGCGGCGAGGTCGACGGTGCATTCCGTGTGCCGAGTAATAGGCTAGTCCAACCCGAGAAATGAGCCATCTCTTGTTGGCGCCGAAACATTGGCGAGTAGCATGACCTCATGACTAAGCCGGCTGGTATGCGGCTGGCCCAAACTTCGCACCAATCAGAGGCCGTTACATAGCGTCTATATGATCGGCGCGCTGTGCAACGACTGCCGTCCAGGTTGCGGGACCAGACCAGCTCCCAATTTCGCAACACACCAGATGCGGACACCGACGGCCACGCTCGCTAGTAAATGCTCGCATCAATTTACGCACTATTTCAGGAAACGGCGTCGTGGAAGGTGCACTGCTCCTCTGCTTGGAAGCCCGGGAAACATAAATTTGGCCTGGCTAGCGCTCCAACTAAGATATTCGAGCAAGGCTTCACGAGACCAATGCTCAACGAAGCCGCTGGTCCTTTCACCGCTTCTGTCGCTTAACAAGTACGCACGGGCCATTTTCTGGTGTGAAACAACGCGTAATACATCCATCTAGTTTATCATCACACATCTCGCAGTTGAGCGTCGAGTCCAGAATTTCACAACCACCAGCCAGGCCAGCTTGTGGTGGGGGCATTGATGCTTATGATAAGGGATAGTACGAAGGGAAGGCCGGTACGGGCTCTGCTCGTTCTCTGACGTGCTAGCAAATTGGCAACCTCCGCACTCCATGGGAGCTTGAGCGGGAATGGGGTCGGGCTGGACCGGATTAACTACCGTTACGTACATCTACCTCGTCCCACCTCAGACTTATTTTTTTTTTAATTAAACAAGACTGCCAGGCAAGAGGTTATCATCCTACACTATGCATGAGATGTGTGCACAACCACTCGGCCAAAAGGCCAGACCAGAATCATAGAACCACCTCAGACTTCACCTGTGGGTTGAATCATACTAAGCCTGACGGTCCAGAAACCCGCTGTATAGACGCCGCAGCGCAACTTCCTCCTCATACTTCTTTGTTGTAGTAAGTTTAAGACTGAAAGAAAGGAAGCTTTTAAAGGCATATTGCCATTGAGATTAGAGATATTGTTTAATACAAAAATTGGAAAAGAAGCAACTCTCCACTTCCTTCAAAGCAGTGGATGCATGAATGATTCCAAAGCTGACTGAAAGGGAGGAGACTAGAAGATAAGTAGAGGAAATGGGGGTTAAATATTTGTATTTAGATATAAAATAATCAGATGTGTCATAGCTAGATAGCTGAATACACTATGAATTAAAAAAAAAAACTTCCTCCTCAGCCTCACCCCTTGACATCCTCATTGACTCCGAAATATAAATGCCGGGCCAGATCTCATCGTTGCTCGAGCCTTGCACCTTCGCATCGTTGGCTTGTTGTCGTCATTGGGGATTTTGGTGATCCCCTCGGTGTCTCTTCCCTCTTCTTCCTCCTTTGTTCACATCCCGTTTCCATCATGACTTTCCCCACTAAGGCGTGTGTAGGTAAGTGATTTGACGAGTATGAAGGTGGGTCACAGGTGTAGGATCAACTGAGAAATGCCTCTTCGCATAAATATAAGGACTTTGAGAGGTATCGGTTGATTGAGTACGAGCCTCGGATAGATCTAGGTCCCTTTATGAATCGTCTATTGGT